ACGAGAAAAGATGTCGTTTTAACGAGAAAAGATGCCGTTTTAACGACATAATTGAGTGGAAAAAATAATATGTGTGCGGCAGCAATGCGTCACCGTATTAACGGGATAGCTCACTCAAAAAAGAAAATTCTGTCATTAATTACTAACCCTCATGTCATTCCAAACCCGTAAGATCTTCATTCATCTTCGGAACGCAAATAAAGATATTTTTGATGAGATCTGAGAGCTTTCTGACCCTCCATAGACAGCAAGGTAACTTCCACATTCAAGGCCCAGAAAGGTAGTAAGAGCATTGTTAAAATGGTCCATGTGACATCAGTGGTTCAACCGTAATTTTACAAAGCTATGAGAATACTTTTTGTGTGCAAAGAAAACAAAAATAATGACTTTATTCAACAATTCTTCTCCCGCGAGTTACCATCTACATCATTATCGAAAGTAACACGATGTATGCGCGTGATGATGCTGACGTAGAACACGCATGCGCTGTGCCTTGTTTACGAGCAGAGGAAAGCACACGCATGCGTTGTGGTACTCTTTTGCGCACAAAAAGTATTATCATAGCTTCATAATATTACGGTTGAACCACTGATGTCACATGGAATATTTTAATGATGCCCTTACTGCCTTTCTGGGCCTTGACTGTGGTAGTTACCTTGCTGTCTATAGAGGGTCAAAATATCTTAATTTGTGTTCCGAAGACGAACGAAGGTCTTACGGGTTTGGAACAACATGAGGGGGAGCAATTAATGACAGAATTTTAATTTTTGGGTGAATAAACCCTTTAATGTATGCAAAAGCACACGTTTTCAGCTACAGATTCCAATGTAGAAGTGCACTATTTTACATTAAGGCATGATTAATTGCCTGAAAGTGTTGCCTAACAAGAGGAGTAACCAAATAAACTCAGTACAATTCATCTGCTCATGTGATCTCAAAATGGCAGCCTCCATAAAGAGACCCGGCTCCATGTAGGGGTGTGCGATATTTATCGTCTACGATAAAATCGTAATTGTTGTTTTAACGATATGCAAGCTGACATTATCAAGTATGTCACTCACTTCGAAAAAAACAAACAAATACACGTCTTGAGAGTTCAAAAGCATTCACTGCGTGATGAAGCCTATTAGAATTCATTTAAAAACTGTTTTTATTAGGCTACTAATATGAGCTAAAACTTGTGTGTGCACATCTTTTAAACATTTTTCAAACATACTATTTCTCTGTGTGTAAAATGTTTTCAACAACAACAAAAAACAGGTCACAAAGCCATAAAATGATAAAGGCTCACCACTATGAGAGGAAACAACATGCCCACCAGGAAGAGTCCCACCCAGTTGAGGATGCAGGCTACCATGAATGCTGGTGGTTTATAGGACTGTGTGAAAATCTCACCAGGAAGTGGTGCTGTCACCCCGGCTGTGGAAGAGAGAATTCACAAGAGTATTGCTAAGAAATAAGGCCACAAACAAGCATCTGAACTTCTCACTGCAGGAGAAAAATGTGTGGATGTACCTGGCCCACTAGAGAAGAAGAAGATGTAGGTGAAAATAAGGACCATGCTGCAATAAGGCATCCAGGATACAAAGTCCTACAAAAGTCAGACAAATCCAATTTCAGGAATAGTTTCATATAGCATAAACAGTGGCTTGCTAGTCACAAAAATAATATCAGTTTATTTAAAGGGGTCATATGACTTTCCTAAAAAAAAAACATTATTTGGTGTATTTGGTGTAATGAAATGTGTTTATGCGGTTTAAGATTTAAAAAAACACACATTATTTTCCACATACTGTACATTATTGTTTCACCTCTATGCCCTGCCTTTCTGAAACGTGTCGATTTTTACAAAGCTCATCGTTCTGAAAAGCAAGGTGTTCTTTGATTGGCCAGCTATCCAGTGCATTGTGATTGGCCGAATACCTCAAGAGTGTGACGGAAATGTTACGCCCCTTACCATACTGTGATGCCATGTCCTGGCGCGACGAGACAAAACCAGTAAAACCCATTATAAACGAGGCATTTGTTGCATCCAGTGGGGACATAATTACTGATTATAATGACTTATACTGTCTTTTTACGCATTGCGTTGCATCACGCCACGTAAACATAAAACCATGTCTACATTTGTGATCGGAGAAACGACAAACAACAAGCGCTACTCTACACTGCTCAAAACTCGCGTTTGAATCGTCAGTGGCAAATCCTTTAAATACGAAAGCGTACCTACAGGCTGCGAGTCAGCATTATTTGTCAGAACACCGACATTGTAGGCTACTCTAACCTGAGATTTGAAACCTGTGGCAAAGATTTTCAGTGAATAACAATTTAAATTTCATCTGTTCCTCACACAAAACCATAGTATGACTTCAAAAGACATGGAATATATAGGGCCCTATGATTTTTGCGATGGGGAAAACGCAGGCGGAATCACGGAATACAGTCATAAAAATATAATTGACTTTTTAACACCGAATGTCACAGAATTTTGTCCGAATACATCAAAAGTAGGTCAGTCCACTTATATCAAAATGCGATATGCACTAGTGTCTGTGAATATTAAGGCACAAAAAGACAATTTTACTTTGAATCCTACAATTTCTGTGTGTCTCTGTGTGAATGAATGGCGCAGACGTGCGGTCTCGTTTACTACACACATACTGAAGTGCGCGTGTACATGAGCACATGAACATTATCTCTAGAGCTGCTCTGAGTCACTTCATTTTACTGTTTCATTTGAGAAAAAAACGATTGTCATATATACACAAAGAAACTTAAAGGTCTTCACAGCAATCCGTCAAAATAAAAGTTCGGTTTAACTTGAAGAAACTGTGACAGAAATATATTACTTAATGTAATAACAGTACTACTACTAATAAAATTATTTTTAAAACATTATTTTTTAAGGAATAGTCACACAATTTTTCTTCCATGTTTTAATTTTAATTGCAAACTTCTGTTGTGCAGTACTTTTGTTTGCCAAAAAATGGATGGGTTTAATTTTCATACACAGTATTTAAAAAATAAAATAAAAATAAATACATAAAATGATAATGAAGTTGTTGTTTTTTATTAAATCAATTAATTACAGATGCGTTTGATTATTAAAACTTAATTAAACTATTAAAGTGGAATGCTGAAAATTAAAATGGAAAACACAGAATTAGGTAAAAATAAAACGGAATTTGAGAGAGAAAAATAACGTATTTCATAGGGCCCTGAATACAGTGCGAGAGTACTACTTTTATTAAACATTCATGATGGTTTTTGTCTTTTTTGAAGCTGTAGTCTCTGTACTTATATGAAAACAAAAGTTTGATATTCTGCAAAACATCTCTTTGTGTGTTGATAGATAATCATATGGGTTTGGAATAAGATTAAATGCTGACTAAATGTAATTTTTTTGGTGAACTATCCCTTTAAATGTAGCTGCAATTTAAATCACATCACAATCAGCACTCTTCTTGTTAATAACTGAATTATTTTATAATTAACCATAAAACCTACTGTATATGATTTGAAAATATGATGTAATTAATAAAACTTGAATAAAGCAAACCTGAAGGTAAAGTGTGAGTGTAAGCAGGGCCAGTGAGGCAGCCATGCACAGGTAACCCCTAAAGAGAAGCACTCTCTTCCCTGTGCTCTCAATGATCAGCACCTGGATAAAAATAACACAGTAAACAAACACACAAACACCAACAGTAGGTACCTTTAAACCAGGCCACATGATGTTTCGAGCTTAGATGAAATATTTGGGTGAGAAAGAGCGGCTCACACAGGCAATGGAGGTGGAGACTTCACACAGGCCCGTTCCCAGGGCGGCATAGCGCAGGTTCTCCTCGGCAATACCGGCCGCTTGAAACACATCAAACGAATAGAGATAGACCTGCAAAGACATGATTCACAGGCCATGTGAACAACAATATCTTTAAGTTCCATTATTCATCTTTGAAACTGAATGATGAAAAGAATGGCAGTGGCTTTCATCAAAAAGAAGAATTAAATCAATTATCTTGCAATGTGAAGCCATCAAGCCCATTTCCTGAACAGACTGTGGCATATGGTTGTGTGTTTTGATGAAATACACATTCTCGGATCAATCGTTTTCAGGTGAGGGTGGCACTGCAACGTTTTGTGACTCACAGCATTGATGCCGCAGAGCTGCAGCGTGACGAACGTGACGAGGACAGTGAGGAGCTGCCAGCGGACGTTGTGGTCGAGGAAGAGGTCCATGAGCCCGTGGATCTTCA